TTGTTTTTTTATTATTATTTGTTATATATATATTTTTAAGTACATGCGATATTTGATTATTAATAAAAATTCGTAATATTAATTTATTATTTAGAGACTTTTTTTAAACGACTTGTAAGCAATTAGTTTATGTTATATTTTACAAGATAGAATTTTAGTTAGAACCTTGTATGTTGTAAGACGTAAAAAAATTTGAAAAATTAGAAATGCAGACATACAACACTTATGCTTTGTACATATGTATGTGTATATGGATAAATGAGTGTATGTATATGTGTAAAAATTTAAAGGATTTTATGTCACTATAAATGTGATACGTCATCATATAACATTGCATCATTATTCCAGATTGAACAACAAGTCGCACAACAACATTCCGATTTATAATTACGTGTCCACGGATAATCCAATAACTTATGACGAGCTGAAAGATATGTCAACGAAATATGGTCTCGAGATTCCCTCCTGCCGAGCAGTTTGGTATTACAGTTTTAGAAACAATAAGCACAGGATGGTCCATCTCTTTTTTGTATATTTCTGGCATCTGCTTCCAGCTTTGCTGCTCGATACTGCAACACTTTGTATAGGAAGACAACCCAGGTGAATTCTTTTCTATTCTTTTTTTAAAGAAAAGCTTCGCAAATTAATAACAAAATGAATTTTATTTATTGATATATAAAATCCGATATTTAAAAAAAATTTTTTAAATAAATTATATAAAGTTAAACAACTCGAACTAATTTCAAGTGATTTAGAATGATCGTGTATTGAATAAAGAGTGAATTGAATTTCTTTCTGTTTTTATATATCAATGATCTCACATTTATGCGAGTCATTGTTTAATACAGATTGTGTGTTGAAGGTTGCTTAAAGTTTACAAGAAGATACACAAATTTATGGATGTGTTGAATTATTTCTCCACGCAAGAGTGGAAATTCACTAATAATCGGTTGCACACGCTGATGGCGAAGCTTACATCCAAAGATCGCGAACAGTTCTACTGCGATATACGAGATGTCGATTGGAATACTTATTTTGAAACTTACATTCGTGGGATAAGAGTGTACTTAATTAAAGATCCTTTAGACACTCTGCCACAAGCACGCGTCAAATGGCAAAGGTACATGAAACATTCAATAATCTTCGGTAACACATTCTTGATATTTTAACTTTTACATTTTCATAACAAATTTAAAAAATTTTGCTTTAATGGCATTTTAACCTTCAAAAATATATTTTATATATATATATATATATATATATATATATATTATTTTAATTTTAAGACATCATACATATACTATTTCGTTCATCTAACATCTAATTACGAAAACGACTCGTATTGTAGATTATACTGGAGCCATCAAGTGCTGAAGCTCATATTGACCTACGTCGCTTTGAAATTCTCCTGGATGATCATATCCATGATGTTCGATTCTTTTTACCCGACAGTGTGATAGAAATGATAGGATTAAGCCCGAAATCTGAAGGACATGCGCCTTGGGAATGTCGACCTGAACGGTGGAGGGTGTCTTTACACACGCGTTCTTAAAGAAAAAACGATTCTCAGAGAACTGTGAAGCTTTCATAAAAACTGGAGTGGGAGAATTAAAAAATTATGGAGGATCATGTCGTAACACTGCATACCCAACAAATTGTGTTACGAAAGAGAAATATGATGTATAAACAACATGAAATGTGATAGAGGGACAGTACAACAACAACAATTTCGATTGTATTCTAATTTCGACGATCTTCGTACAGGTAAATTGTAAGAATTATGTATCTTGTTTCCAAAATAGATTTTGTGTTACTTAAGATTAAACTTTAATAATACACGACCCATAAGTTCTAGGATACTCTTAAAAATAAAATAAAAGAAAATAAAATTATAAGTTTTTCCATTTTCGTGATAGATATTTTATAGCTAAAAAGATCAACAGGCTTTAAGCTTATATATGGAAGAAAAGGCGGCATCTTTTTTTTCTATATAAAAAAAGGAAGAAGAAGAAGTTAAAAAGATCAAATTATAGTTGTATTGCCAAAGTAAAAAGAAGTAAATAAGAATGTGTCTTATTTTAAAGAGTGTTCAAGAATTTATGAACGATAATGTATGTGCCTTGTAACACATTGGTAATACATTATGTATTATATAATGGCGTATTAAATAATAGTGTCTTCGGCTGCGGCTGAATAAATCTTGATGATGTAAATAGACGATATATTACTTTTTTTACTTCTACTTAGTTTTTTAATTTGTCGTTCGAAAGTTTAGGCGTATTGAATTCTCGATTGCAACATCAGTTTCGACGGGGTTTGACGATTAAAGAAAACAATTTCCCGCGACGGAACATTAGTAGGACAGAGGTGAAGGTGAGTCAATGCGCGGACTCATGATTTATGTAATCCGATTAATTTAAGCATGCTCCTTGTCATTGCTTATACTTATTTTACGAATCAGCATTTTACGCGCATAATTGTTTTGACAAAGGAAGAAATGCTTAACAAGCGATGTATTATCGTTCGTGCAAATAAAACGTGCAAGAGTAAAGAGACACGTACTTTATATTTGATAATTTATAATCGTATACTTTGATTTTACTGTCAGATATTCAGATGCACGTGAGATAAAAACGCACGTACCAAAGGGCTCTCAGGCATTTGAGAGAAAGCGTATTTTGTTTTGACAGTCGTGACGCAGATTGCCGACGTACGACACGCGTGTGCGATCATGCGTGCCCATGCGTATGGCAAAGCGCGGGTACATGGCGATGCATAATGAACAGTCGAAATGCAACAACCGTTTAAGTAACGTGTACACTCGTCGCGAACGAGTGCGGGACCGTTAAAGAATGCACCGCGGAGAGAAACGAAAAAATTTCTCGAAGCACCACCGATGATCGTCGGTTTGCTTGTGGAGAGTACACGTCCAATGAAACTTTCGATTCAATGAACGAAGCTTATAATCGAACATTCGGTTCTGTCAGAGATGCGTAAGTGTCGGTCCACAATAAGTATTTAATCTTTAAACCGTAAGAAATTGACCGATTATAATCGATTATTCTTTTCATATTCGATTATAATTGGTCAATTTCTTACTTCTTAAAGCTTAAATCATCTATTGTGGACCGACACTAATAGATAGTTTTTCTTGCAATCTCACGTTTCTCTAGTGTCACTTGAAGAGTATCATTATATTCTTTATTATAAATGAGGTCCATTTTTTATTTTCCAATATTTTCTATATTATTGAGATTATATTAAAATCATTAAACGTCATTAAAAAATGAAAAAAAAAACAAAAACAAAGTAAAAAAGATATCATGGCCCATGGGGGGATCGAACCCGCGACCTTCGCGTTATTAGCACGACGCTCTAACCAACTGAGCTAATGGGCCAAACACAAGTGGTTTCTAAAATAATTCTTTTCAACTACTGATGACCTCTAAAATATCTATGCATAAGAAAATTAATATTGCAGATTAATTAAATAATTATATTAATAGTTATAAATTTAATTAATTAAATGTTTATGGTTATCAATCTAATTACTTAAATGTTTATTGTCCAACAAAGTGAAATAAAATGAAACATTAAAACCGTTATTAATGTTTTAAAAATTGTTGTTTATGCATATCTAAATAATACATATGATTTAATTAAATTTTGATTTGAAATACAATCGTTGAGAACGTAAAGGATGAGAGAGATGTATTTAGCGAGAATGCGAGCGTCTTGAAAGTATCATAGTAGTCTCGTTATTGTTATAAAATATTTTTTGTTATAAGTTCACATAAAATTTTGTAAAATAAATATATTTGTATATACGAATAAGAAATATGAATATTATCGATGTCTCCTCTTCTTTCACTTGATTTTTAATCTTTCCCGATATTCCCGAGAGATTTTTATTGTTAATTAAGATGCAATTAAGTTAATCAGTAGTCATGGATAAATTTTTATTGTTTAAAAGAGGCCAATGAATAAATGAATAACATGCTGACACGACCGTCAATGACTCAGATTGCAACATCGCGAGGACGTGCATAAGTTGACTCGTCTCGAGCATACGAAATACAAATTTAATATATCGTATATTTAAACACAACTTAATAAGACGTATACACGGACAAACATAATGAACTATGAAGAAATCATTTTGAATTGCAAATTTTGATTGAACTGGATCATGATTTATTATACACTATTTTATATTCATTATTCATTATTGTTTAGTTATGATTATGGATTATGGAAACATAAATTAATTATCTACATTAATTATCTTCTTTGTTTCAGATAATTAATGTAGAATGATGTACTTATAATAAAATATATCATTAATACGTATCGTAGATAGTGATTAGCGAATAAATAAATGTTAATATTTTATTTTGTAGAATATTTTATATTTAATAATAATTTATACACATATTTGTTTTACATGTTTTGGATTGTGCCGATTATTATTCAGTCTTGAAGGAAGAAGAAGAAAAAATAAAAAAAATAGAAAATAGAAAATAGAAAAAATATCATTATTTTAGCAATATTTGATTATCATGCAATAATAATGTATAAAGTAGTTTAACTCAACATTAATTGTTATAACAAATCGAATATAACAAGTTATCAGTTAAATATTGGAATAAATTATTTAATAATATCTAAAGCAATCTAAAGCAGCTAAGAAAATGATAGGAAAATACTTTCTAGAGGGAGAATAATGTAATTTATTCTATTTATATTATTTATAATAATATTTAACATTAATTTGTTATAAGAATTAATATAACTTAAATTAACTTGATTAAAGAAATATTTTATTGAAGTTATAAATTAATAAATATATTTATTGATTCAAAATTCAAAATTTATTCAAATTTAAAATAGTAAAACATAATTTTGTGTCGTGAATTATTAAAATAGCATAAATTTTTACAAAAAAATTATTTATTAATTTTATAATCGGAAGTACATTTTGAAATTTTTCTTTTTCTCCTTTTTTCTCTTTCAATGTGAATGAACAATGCAAGAAATTTAGCTGAAAAGAACAGATTTATTGGATATGTTCCAAAATGTACTGATAATATTGAATATCTATAGTGTACGTCACGTGAATTGTAAATTTTCGTACCGTTAAGAGTCGGCAGGCGTGACGGGCTAACTCCGACTTGATCTAAAATGATTATCTACTCCTTATTTACAGTACAGATATGTATCTGTACTCAATTATATTTTGTCTTATAAAAACGATGTTTTGTCATGAAATTTTGTTAAGATAATTTCTTTTACAATTACGAAGCTACCTACAGAGCCAATTTTGCAATTTCGCTCTTAAATAATTAAAATAAATGTAATTATCTACTAATAGATGAAATATTTGCACCTTATTGTTCTATAGTGCAAATCTATTTATGCATAAATGAATTATTTATTTTCACACATTTTCTTATCAAAATCGTTCTGTAGCTTTCGTCAGGCAAATATTCTGATTATAAATATCATAATTATATAGCTTTTCTCACAGCATTTTGGCCGTAATATAGGCTCACAGCATTTTGGCCGTAATATAGATGAAAAGGAATTTATCTCCGATAAAAAAAATTTTCAATTGACCAATCATAAAACGCTTCGCACATTTGTAGCACCAGTGGCTACGTTCATAACGTGTCAGTATCCTGCTCCTATTCGGTTCGACTCGATTACAATTAATTCTTTTCTTGAAGTAAAAACTCTGCAGGAACGAAATTAAAATACAAAAATGGGGTTCAGTTCCACGATGTATCATCTCGTGTTTAAACGCACGTCTACATTCACACTCGCAGTTCTGACGTCCACTTTCTTCTTCGAAAGAGCGTTTGACATGGCTTCCGAAAAAATTTTTGACACTATAAATAAAGGGGTGAGAATTCATTTTTATCTTCTGTTATTTTTGTGTATCCGATCATCAGATCTTTATTCGATATCTGAATGATCGATGTTTCCGATTGAGGTTAACGAGTGGAAGTGAGGTTAAGTCACGGAAAACATTTGATGAACATGATGACATTTTGTCATTAAATAAAAAAAAGCCGAACGATATACGAAGAACTTGTGTCGCGTATTCTAATTTATGAATTAGCACGTGACACGATTTAATTTACGCTTTGACGCCTGAACAAAATATGATACTGATTACATAACATTATACAAGACATCTCTTTTTTTCAGAAACAATGGAAGGACATCAAGCACAAATACGAGAATTGAATAGAATATTTTGCACGTAAAATGTGCGTTAGATCTATATTTAATGGAGATATATTTTATCTCTGAATATGTAAATAAATAACGAATTACATGATTGCGCTGGTCTCTGCAATATGTTTTTATTTTGAATTATTGCAATATATATCATGAAATATGAATTAAAATATCTATATTTATTTTAATTTATTATTTATTTAGATATAAAAGAGTAAACAATCATTTTGCAGTTGCAATGGCAAACATTATTTCTGTTGTAGAAGGCAATATTACTATATATATAATCTTTTAAGCATCTTTCAATTAAAAAAAAACGATTATAGATGAATGTTAAGCTTATTTCTGAATAGAACTTCTGGAATTGCCCATATTAGGACCTAGAAAACGACCAGCAAAGAGAGTCTCACTTGTTGCTAGATCAACGATGACAAAAATGAACGGTCTGTTTGCTCTAAAAGATGGCAACATGCCACCCATGAGTGGTACAATGGCGAGTTCTGCAATTTAACAAGCATTAAACATTAATCTAGACTACAATGATGTATCGAATGAAATCATATGAGTTATCTTGATAATTACCTGTCACCGCAGCAGCGATGGTTCCCTCCTCGTCAACTTCTATTTTAGCATTTTGAATTATACTTCCCACTCGCAAATAGTCATTGTGTACGATTCCGGTGAAATTTGCTGTTGGACTGAAAATATCCTGTATACCCATCTAAAACATAAGCAATCCTATTTAATCTAATTAATTTTTTACATGACATAATGACAATAAAAATATTCACAATTATAACAAAAACTAGCAATATTTAGCAATGTTTATATAAATATGTTATATAGCTGCATATAATTATCATAGAACAAAGATAAAGATATTTATTGTTTATGATATTAAATATAATTATAACAAATATAATATTAATACTTACGTGTAGTAAGGCAGGATACAAATTTAATTTGCTTTCGATACTAAATCGTGGAATAACAAGCAGCAGTTCAGTTTCATTGAGACTAGCTAGTAACGTTTTCATCGGTACATATGACAAATCCTTTGAAAGAATCTGGAGATACGGATCATTTTCTTCATGAGAAGGAAGGAATATCAGCATAGATGTCCTACCATTCTGAAATATTAATTTCGTCAGTCAATTTTACATAATCAATATTCTTAAAAATACCACATCTATTTTTTTGTACATTTATCAATAGCTTGGAAGAAAAAGATTTTTAGAAAATAACAAGCATCTGACAAGTCATAATTTACCATAATATATTTTATGCATTAGTTTTATATAATGTAGAATGTTTTATAGAATTTTGTAAAATTTTTGTTTCTTTAGACAAAAGTAGCACTATTTTAATGTATGATTTAGTTGCAACAACTTTCGTATAAAATATCTTCACACAAAATGAGATTACGGCATACTTTATACGTTAATAAATATAAATTGATTTATGTATTAGCAAATAAATTAATTACTCGTAAAAAATTAACAAATAATTAGTTTTTATGAAGAATATGTGTATGATAGTAGTAATTTTTAAAAATATAGATATGTAGATGTTTGTGTGATATTTTATATATAAAAATGCATGTTAGATAACTGCTATCACGTTAGATATGCTGCTATCTTGTTGATAAAAGTACCAGTCTTCGCAATTTATTGATGACATAGGAATCAAATCTACGTTTTACCGAGTATGGGATTTCCACTACATCAGCATCAAGAGAAGCTATATAGCCACATCGGTACTTAGAAGTGTTCTCCATCATAGGAATGTCTTGACAGCCACCAGAAACATGGAAACACCGTACACGCGTAGCACCCTTATCGAAGGATTTCAACCATCGTCCTTTGAAATACAAGGCCGAAGTTAAGAGAATTTGGGTCTCGGCGGCAAGTGAGGCTGAAAACAACATTGATGAAACGATTTTATTGATGGGCTCAATATCCGTAACTTCGAAGCTGGAAGAAATGGAGTAATTTTCTCCAATTAAGAAATCCAATAAGTTGCTCAAATTGTCTAAAGAGGAAAAGTATCTCTTCCGTTATTCTCAATAGAATTTAAGTTAAATACCAGGCTGGACGATTGATTGGATATTGTTCCGTGTGTGTTTGCGGACCCAAGCATTGATGATGTCAGCCGCATTTGCATTCCCGAAATTCAACTGCTGGATATCAGTCCCGTAATAATTACGCAAGGCGGTCATATAATTCGTGGATGCCATGAGAGATGGATTGATCCACAAGCGAGTTGCCACGTCGATCTCCGTGCCATTTTGATGGTTCTGACAAATAAAATGAAGATAATGCAAAAATCATATTAATATATTATTCTACAATATCGAAGCTATATTAATTTTAACGCATTTAAGATAAAATCTAAATCAATAAGTATAATAATCTAAATAAAATATTAATATACTTTTAGAGATGTAAGTGTGCGACTCGCTACTCCTCTGATGACGTATTCTTCTGGTGGTAATCTCAAAACCGCAAGAAGCTCTTGTCGTGTCCGACCAGCCGTGCCTTCCACCAGACTCGTAAGGGCGATTTTCGCACTGGCAGGGGACAGTATCAGATTACCCTCGACGATCTCATTTACTCTCTATGGTCATTATAAAATTTTTACAAACATAAGAATTTTTATAAACATAACTTTTCCTACACATTATGTTTTAATTTGGCAAAAAATTATTTGTTATTTCATAACAACGGAAGTAAAAAGACTTAAGAAATTAAGTCTTAATCTTTTAGAAATTAAAAATTTAAATCATTTCTATTTAAATTTTGTCTGATTAATATTCGTTTCTATCAATATAGATTGTAGATCTTGATTTAAATTATTTTTATCTTATTTTTAGCTTAAAAAATTAGAAAAAATTAAACCGAGATTAAATCTACATTGATAGAAATGGATGTAAATTATCTTGTCCAGAGTTAACGTGTTTTATATCTTTGCATTTTCCGGAAAGTTTTTCTCACCTGTAGAAGATCGATATTGAAGAAGGCGTATCGGTCATCAGTACTGATCGCAGCAGGAACAGCTGTGTTAAAAATATTAATATCATTAAGAATCTCACGATTTAACGACAAATACATTAATGACAAATGCAATATGCTTGCAAGCAAATGCAAATGCATGATTTATTGCAAGAATGCAGTTGTGCATATCTATTAATGCATAACTATTATTTCAAACTATATGCCTTATGGTCACATTCTTTGGCGAATAACAAGTCTGAATTCAATTTATTGCTGATTACACTTGATCGGGAATGAATATTATCAAATCGATCGTACTCCAATTAATCGCGCGTAAATTCCAAGGAAAATGATTAGAATTTAGATTAGCTCTGAAAAACATAGCATGACTAACGATCGACACGTGACTCGGCACATCGAGAAAATTTTCCTTGTCTGTCAAGCTAAACGTTCGACAGGAATTTCATTTACATCCGAATGAAACGGCGAAAATAGTAAAGGATGATAATGCTGACACGTTGAAGAACCAGTCGCGAGGAACGCCGAGTGAGCGCCTCTTCATCTTGCGAGCGATGATGTAATCGCAGAAAAAGCGGTCTGATAATTATAGTCCAGTATAATTTTGATATATGCTGGAGCATAGAGTCTGAGATCATTGAATGTCTATCTGTCACTTCACTACGTATGAATGAAGCATTGCATCAAAAGAGCAAGAATGTAAAAGGCACAAAAGAATTCGATTGTCCCAAATATATATGTATATAATTTAAAAACTATATATTTATATATATATATATATATATAATAAAATAAGAAAATTAGTAAAATTTAGAAGAATTAAAAATTAATTATTTTTCGTATGATCTACGATTAATTTTTCGTATCTACGATTAATCTACGATTAATGCAATGATTCGAAATTTCAAGCAACGTGAATGCTTATATATCTCTATAAAAGGCATCCAAAGAAAATATTCTAACTCCGAAGGATTCCTAAAATATGTTTCTACTATGCCCAAGCGATACCTGCGAGAAGATACCAGGAGATCCATAGCGATAGTGAAGGCATTCTTTCAACTTGGAACAGACTATGCAACTATCACTCTCAAATGTGTTTCTTGTGGTTCCTAGTAAGCAGATAAACACGGGTATAACGAAAACATACGATCCGGCAAGTCCGGCAAGTTTTAACAGCTAAAAGCTAAAACTTCCGGCAAGTAGTCATCCCCACTTTATGACTGGATCCTGCCTCATTATCTCTTCACCATGATGTAAACACTACTACGCTCGGACGCGCCAACAAATCGCAATCATGCAATTTGTGCACGAGGATATATACGGGAGAAATTCGCACTACGTTCGTTGCGATCGATTCTCCTCGTGAGGATTGCCCAAGCAAAATGAAGAAACATGAATCAGTGACGGAGTAAAAAAGACAGAACAAGTTCTCCTTCCGATTGAAGTTTTATTTAATCACTGACGCAATCCTCAAGCGTAAGAATGACAGAAATTCTTATGGATGAGCGGAATCGTTGCTGGGAGCAACGAACGAAAATTGAATAATGTGGATAAAAAATACAGACAAGAGATATTAAATATAAAAAAATTAATAATTAATTATTTATCTTGTATTACATTATCAAATATTATTACGCTATGAAATAAAGTGCGGTATGTTTTACCTTAGAACCAGATAGACAAAATGTATTGGAATAAACTTTTTAATAAAATGCATATACATTCTCACATTCTCTAAAAACTTTATTAATATTAAAATCTTTCTTATTTTTTTTCTCCATAGAATCAAAGAATTTAGAAAAAAGGTAAAAGGTAGAAAAAGGTAAAAAAAATTACACATGATTTTTTTTAAATTAAAAAAATAGTATCTCTTAAACTTTCTCTTATTTTCAATTTTTTCTATACAAGTATATATATTTATATATGTTCATATAAATAAAAAAGAAAATATTAATAATTATTCATATTATTGAAAAAAACTTATATTTTGTTTTGTATTAATCTATTGTAAAGATACGACAAGATAAAGGGGCAGATAGAAAATAAAAAGACGTTTGCAATGAGATAAAAACACAAACGCGACTGAAAACAGAAAGAGAGTTCGAAAACAATTTCCTCGGAATTTCTGTTCATTATTTCCGTTCATTATTTCCGTTTCATTATTTACGAGCGTCACTGGAACGTCCCACTAAAACTCATTGGTAATAGCTTTTGTGATCATGTCGCAATAAAGGTGTCAACTTTCAGTCAAAGTGAAAGCAAACCATTCATAAATATGAATACGATATGAATAGAGTAAATGGGTTAACAATGATAACTGTAATCTATTGAGGTTTAATATAATAATAATGTCTGATAATTTTGCCATTTATACAAGCATCAAGGAAGGAAAACCCAGGAAAGGTAACCAATTAATTCTTAGAAAATTAGTAATTAGTTTTATTAATAATATTGGTTAATTGAATTTCAAACTTAGAAGGTTACAGAATATAATTTCCTTCTTGAGATATAACAATAAATAAGCTAATGAAAATTCGTGTATAAAATATTTTGTATAATATAATATTTTGTTTAATGTTAATCGTAAATAAATAAAGAAGTTATTTGCTCTATATGCGCATGTCTCTTTTGTGTGTGTGTGTATGTACATATTTTAATTATAAAAAAGTTATATATGTATAAGAAATTATCTAAACTGTTAAATTTATGCATTAATAATAAATATGCGCCAATTTTACATTATATTTGACAGATTTATTAAATAAACAAGTTTTTTTACTTCTTTGGCATATTGACATTTAATAAAATTAATTCTTGAACGTCAAATAATATATCAGATGTAAATAAATTTGTAAAATCTATGCAAACTTAACATCACCATTGGATATAATAAACTTATTTGTGATTTATACGATCATGTAATAATATTTCATAATATTGCAATAATAATTTATTTTTAAAATAATACTGCATTTAAAATGTCACTAATGTATAAAAAAAAATTAATTTTTTCTTTCTGATACATTTTTTTTTAAATAATCATCTATGTAATACAATAAATCTATGCGGATGAAACTTAACTGAACCGGAAAATCA